GTAATGGTTACATATACATTTTTTTTTTCTGATGACTGTGATTAAATCTTTAGGCCTGATCATGGGGAACATTTGCTGATGAACAGCACCGTCACTTGATGCAGATGTGACACCAAAAAGAGACAGCAGCTGTTTCACAGACAACTGATCCAAACAGAGACATTCACACACACACACACACACACACAGAGATATCTGACTGACTGAATGTTGTCCTGTGTGGGACGTTGTGATTTATAGGATAGCACTCGATATCAACCCCCTGTGGTCACACTCTTGTACACACACACACACACACATTCAGGACAATGTGACCTTGGGAGTCCATATCACAGCATATGTGTGTGTGCTTGTGCAGGATGGAGTATCAAGAGAGGGAGAGAACAATTCCCATAATGCAATCTACTGTATAGAACCAGTAAGAACGAGAGAGAGAGAGAGAGAGAGAGAGAGAGAGAGAGAGAGATTGGACAATAGAGACCCACTCACGGTTGAAGAATGGAGGAATGCATTAACAAGACTGAGTTTGGGACACTTTGGAGCAAGAAACACAATCTTGGACTTCGGATTGAGATTGACCACGCAATAATAAAGGAAAAGAGAATAATTTTTCATTAACGTGACCTTGGTATGGATGGATTTCATTTTGGACGCCACGCATCAAATGATATGCAAGCACTGGAACACATTAAATGTTGTCAACGAAAACCAATCGGTGATTGCGAAGATGCTGGACTCCCCTGGACTGCACCAACGAGGGGAGCATGATGTTGCAAAACTTAACCAGAAGGGAAAGGCAGAGAGGAATGGAGGGGAGGAGGATGATGATGAGGAGGAGGAGGAGAGGTGTGGAGGACAGCAGGAGGAGGGAGAAGGCGAGCCGGAGAGGTAGAGAGCGAGAGAGTCTGCATTTCAAGTGATTAACAGTGACCTTAGAATCTCCCTCTACGTGTCTCGCTCACTCTGCATTAAAGAACAATGCTGCAGTTCTTCAGACCTTTATCGTCCCGGGAACAACTACAAGAGTGTCTGCAGGAGGATGCAGCCCTCCCTGCCTCTGTTTCTCTCTCCCTCCCTCTTTTTCTATAACTTTATGATGCGTGGACGGTGAGCAGTGATGCTGAGGCCTGAGAGCGGAGGAGAAGTTTGGACTTGTGGGCAGGATGGGCTTCACAGGACGGGGTTGCCCTTTAAAATTTCTTTGAATTTAAGAGCGAAGGCTTCTCGTATTATGGTTCATTACCAGGTAAATAAAACCTTAATTCATTTTATTTGGTTGTACTTTTAATGCATGCATCTGGATCTCTTTAAGCTCACTCTAGTCTAGAGTATTTTGCCATGTTATTTATGGCAGTGAGTGCTATAAAAAGTGTATGTAGTGCAGTTGTTTCTTTAAGAACTATTTGTACCTGATTCAACACTTCCGATTACTTTTGTTAGTATAATGTAATGTAAGTGATTTGGTGATTTTGAAATTGACTAATTTAGATAGTACCACATGAAGCACATTTTTAGGTTTACTGACAAATCTTTATAAATTATTTTGTATGTGTGGAAAAAGTATATGATGAAGAGACGCTTTTAACAAATCTTTACACACACAAGGAGTAACTCACAAAGTTCATGAGGAAATTTAGCAATACTTGTCAGCATCAGGAATGAAAAATGGTTATAATATAAATTGTCCTAAACCAAACAAAAACACTTGTACTGAGATGCAGTTGAAGGTGTGGCTATGGTGTTACGCACTTGTCTTGCAAAATATTAAGAGATTACATTGTGCATTTTTAAAACTCTCATTAAGATAGCTGATTGTTTTTATTAAATCATTGTATGCGTAAATGTTATGTTCTCCCCTTAAAAGTATTATTTTCTAGTTTTATTTTAATTATTACACTTTTATTTGCAGATGACAACCAAGTAACTGTAAAATAGAATTATTTAAAAAAAATGTACTTGATTCACTTAAAAATTCACTTAGTTTGTTCATAACCAAAGTTATATCATTAATATTTTTGCTTATTTTTTAAAGGATATTTAGTGTACAGTATAGATTGAATGCATTTTTTTTTGTTATGAATAATGTATCTATCTCAAGTATTTAGCTTCAGTGATGTTAAATTATATTTTTGACTTGAATAAAGCCAATTCATTTACATGTTGCCATTGTTTAGGTTACCATTTATTTCAGTGTAGAGAAGAATCAAATGATCACATTTCGATCATGAAAATAGCAGAAACTTCATTAATTAGAAATTCCTTGAAAGAAGAGAGAGATAGAGAGAGCGAGAGCGAGAGCGAGAGCGAGAAGCAGACAAAACAGCATTCGTTCCCAAATAAGCATTGCTGAACTATTTCAAAATGTACTCTTGTACATTGACTATAGACGTGTTATCAAGGAGAAGGAAGTTGGAAAGTGGAACCCTTATGAAAACAATAAATACTAAGGGAAGTAATATGGTAAGACTGGTCCTTCAAATTATTTGACTTGACAGTTCAAAAAGAAAGAAAGAAAACAGTTATTTGTGGAAATTATACAAATAATTACCAATATGAATAACAAAATGAGAAATAGTCACATCTGTGTATTCTAAATCAGACTAATTGTGGCGAGATTGATTAGCTGAAGGGTTTTTGCACCAGATGTTTGAAATTACATCTGTCTTGCCGAGTCACTGTAGTAGCAGCATAAAAAATTATAACATTAAAACAAAGCATTTATCAGTACTGATCAAGAGAGTCACAACTCATATGCTCTGTTTAACTGAATGACTGACTATAGTGCTCAGCTCAGATTTGTTTGCAGATAATCAGGCTCCCTGGTTTTTATTATTTTGAACTTTTAAGTTGCCGTGTTCCTGTGGTCTGATTTTGCCACTTTGATAAATATATATGTTGTATATTTGCATGCATGAGTCACCTTCACTTTTGCCTGTGCAGCAATTTTCTCCAGCAGTAGCTGGTGTTGATCACACTGCGGAGACGCTGCGGCCTCCTCTGTCATCTTCTCTCTGTAGAACTTATTTAAAACATCTGCACTACATTGACGACATAGTGGAAAATAGCTTGTTTGGCTTTAATGCAGTAATGTCATCCTTTTATGCTTTAATGCATTAATGCCCTTGAATGGCTTTAAAACATTATTCAGTATTTTAATGCAGTAATTGCAATAATTGTAATGTTTGTTTTTTTATCATTAATTCTACTAATATTGATTTTAATACATTGTATTTATTTTAAAGGAATGGGTCATCTTCATTTGTTTTCCACAGAAGAAAGCAAGCCATGGGTTTTGAATGTCATGAGGGTGAGTAAATGAATACATTTTTGAGGGAACTATCACTTTGAATATTAATTAATACTTTTAATTAATAAAACATTTTTAGGTTTAAAAAGAGGCAGGAATAAAATGCTTTGTTTCTTTGTTTTTATTTGAAAAAAAACACAAACAATTAGTGATGCAGCTCTTAGTTATGGTGCAGTGCAAGCATACAGTACGTATTTAAAGTAGGCCAGAGTCAGACCTTCAGCGAGACACTAAACAGAAGCATGCATGCATGATGAAAAAAAACGAGCAAAAAACTGGTCCCCAAACCATTCCAACCAACCTCACTGGAATGCTGTTATCGTTTATGCCCACATAAATGTTATGTTTGTATGATCTTGATGTAGAAATGAAATCTTGAAGAAAACATCAAGGCAGTACAATCATGGTTGCATCATATATGTGACACCTTCAGTATAATATCAGGCTTCTGACAGTTCAAAATGATATTTAATGGCCCAGTTATTACATCAGTACTTATGAATAAATGTAAACAAGTAACCAGGAAATTGTTGTCTAATTCTAATAGAAGATAACCAGGGATTTAGAGTCATGTTTCCTGGCAACTCAACCTATGAATGGCAACCACTAAAGTGCTAGCCATAAAATCATTGTGCCGCAGTCTGGATTTCACAAACTGGCTTAATGTTAACTGCTGTGCAGCAAATCAAATTATGAGCTTAATGGTTTTATTATATCCTTTAGGAGACTTTTTAACATTTTGTGGTTGCCTGATGTCGCTCACATTATGCAAATATCTAATGCAAAACATGGTGGTAAAAATACAATGTACATGTGTACGTGAACAAAGTAACTGAGTGTCACTGAATACATGATTATCATTGAATACATAGCAATAACAGTTAACAGTTATGATTACACAATATGTAAATCTCAGTTTTGGTTCATAATACAATAAAGCATTACTGAATTAAACATTAAAATTAACACATTCCCTTGCAATGAATTTGAGGTCAAAATGGACCAAAATTATAGAGGTAACACAGCAATCCTTCGTGGTACATTTGTATATAACAAGAAGCAATATAACTTGATTTATTAAATACTTATTGGAGTACAATATGATGTGGAAGTGTAACATAACACCTATGTCAGTTAAACAAATAAATAAATAAAATAAGCCAGTCATAAGGGGATTGAGTGAGTTAAAGTGTGAGTAAACAGAAGCTAGTGTGGGTGTCGGCTTTGCCCAGCAGAGGGTGAGGCTTCCTGGGCTCAAAATCACTGTGGCTCCAGGCTTTGGGCCTGTGCAGCATGAATGCAGTGTTACAGCATGAACACTAAGTAATCATACATGGTGAAGTAAAATAAGCGGTGAACTACTTTACTCCTATGGTCTGTAGACAAATACTGTATATCTTCCCTGTTGAAAAAAACAGCATATGCTGGTTAGGTATGTTTTGACGCTGGGATGCTGGTTTATGCTGGTCCTTTGCCAGCACATGACCAGCATAAACCAGCAAAGGACCAGTTTAAACCAGCAAAGGACCAGCATAAGCCAGCAAAGGACCAGTTTAAACCAGCAAAGGACCAGCATAAGCCAGCAAAGGACCAGTTTAAACCAGCAAAGGACCAGCATAAGCCAGCAAAGGACCAGTTTAAACCAGCAAAGGACCAGCATAAGCCAGCAAAGGACCAGTTTAAACCAGCAAAGGACCAGCATAAACCAGCATCCCAGCGTCAAAACATACCTAACCAGCATATGCTGTTTTTTTACAACAGATTTTTATAAGGTTTTATGCCAGAACTTAGAAGAACCATTTGTATATGAGCTTACATCTCTATGATATTGTCTTGCTTTAATTTAAATATACAGAATGTTTAAATTAGACATATACTGCTATTTTTCGACATCATTCAAGATTACAATATACATATAATATATATTTTGATATATTTATTTTTTAATCTAACTATTTAGAACTATTTAATACTCACGTTTCCTGACAATAACACAAAATATGCTGTACAAATATTGATGCTATTCTTTGAAATTGTTCGATTTAGCAGATGTTGTGTAGGGGACTTGCCCCTTCCCTACATAATCTACTACATAGTTTGCAGTCTATTACTGAAAGTTCACAATCACTGTGTTTCACTATCAAAATGGATTCCCATCACATGAAAAAAAAAAGCTTGTTTTCGTTCTTTTTTTTCCAATTACTTGAAATCAAAGTTTCTTATTTCCTCTGTATACATAATTCTGTGTTTTTCTGTCAATATGGGGTGCTGTGTGTACATTAATGAGGAAAAAAAAATAACTTAAATGATTTTAGCAATTGGCTGCAATATAACAAAGAGTGAAAAATTTAAGGGGGTCTGAATACTTTCCGTACCCACTGTATGTCATACAGAATTGATTACTTTTTAATCTTTCCATTAAATGCACATTCATTAATCCAGTATCTTTCATTTGCTTGTTACTCAATTTAAAACCACTTTAGCCTCTTTCAGAACATATTATATGATGGAAAAAGAGTGATTGACCTCATAATCAAAGTTCACACATTCCCAATAACACACCACAACATACATGTCAAACACAATCTATAATATTAACAATCACATTTCTGTATCAGTTGTTTTTTGGCTTTTATCTATATATAGACCATGTCTAACTTGCCACATAATCATTGCACCTGAAATTATGATGTTTATGTGTGAAAGCAATGTTTTGGAAATGGCATTCTCCATAAATAGGGTACAAAATAGCTGAAACTCCATTTTTTTCTTCAGGGTTGCAAATTAGTGCAAATTCAGCATAAATTAAGCTGTCACTCAGTATGATATTTGTTTGATATTTTGTCTATTCATAATTGAGAAAATAGAGATTATTTACATCCAAACTAGCTTATTTTTTGGGCCTCACAATTTTTTATGTGTTTGTTTGTTTATTTATTTACTTATTTGGTAATGGGGGAAATAAGTTTTAATAAGGTTAATAAAGAAATTAAGAATTCACTCACTTTTACTTTTCATCTTTTAAAATGATGATGCTCTTCTGTGATTTTAATTGTTAGATAGTCATGAAGACTAAGTCCTCTCAGGTGGAAGTCAAAATCACCATTAACAAACCGACAAAAAAAAAGTCACTTTCATGCTAAGTTAGTTTCATGTTAGATAACAAATATGCAATATCAAATAGGTCACAACAAAGACAACATAGGATTAATGCCTCTAAGGCTTTTAAAAAATGTAATGGAACAGCAAAATATACCCTATTTGTGAAATGTGCCAGATGCTTGTGCAAATTAATTATTTGTTTTGTGCAAATTATGTGTATCATGCATAAGAAAATTGTCATGCAATGATTGTACATGTTTTGGAGGTGTGCTATGTGCTGTAAACTAGCAAATTATAGATTTTGAACACTGATGTATAGTCACGGTCCTGCCTAATAGTCTGCTGTAAAAACAGGATACACTTTTAGACTCAACAGGCGCAAACTGGCACAATGAGAAGGCACACACAAACACACACATTATGTTTCTACATCCACTTGAGAGGTTGTTGAGGGCAGTGATTTCTCAAGAAACTCTTAAAACGTATAAACACCATAAGGGTAAAAACACTTTGGCAGTTGTAAGAAGACCTTGTATAATTTTAAATTCATCTTGTTAGAAAATTTTCATCAGAAATACTGGATGGCTGATATTAATAGTGCTAATAGCCACAGTAGTTGAAGAAAAAAAAAAGACATTACTTGACTTTGAAAAAAGGGTGGTCTAAACGAAGAGTTCTGAAGGAAGTTATCACCTTAACCTGTTGTATTGAGTGGAAGAAGCAGTTTGAAACCCTTTGTGGGATAATTTCTCACTGGTAACTGGACACCATGGCACTGTGGTGGAGATCTTCCTTTATGATATGTTTGACTGCTACACGAGAAACCGAGGAATGTTGAATGAGACAGTTATAGGATGAAGAGTCAAAGAAGTTTTACATATCTTCAGGCAGGCTTACATTTCTGAAAGGTAAGAAGAAAGACAATGAAAAAAAAATGTGAGAATGTCGAATCAGCATGTTGAATATTAACATTGATTTATTGATTTTTTTTTGTATGATTTCCATATGTGGTTATTTTGTAGGAAAATACCATTAGATTTGGCAAATATGATTAATTTTGATCAGTTTTTTTTTTCAATTTAAATTTTTTATTTAAATTTAATATTTTATTTTTATAAAGACTGATTCATTTGCCAGAACGTCTCGGTTACGTATGTAACCCTCGTTCCCTGAAGGAGGGAACGGAGACGTCACGTCGTGACCGACGAATTGGGATCTCGCTTAGAGAGACTAATCCACTTAAGAGTGTAAACTAAACGAGCCAATGCACATTGGCATGCGATAATTGCATCCAGCTGCCACTGATCACAGCTTGAGCATAAAAAGACAGCCGGTGCAATGCATACCAGGTTTTCGCTGAGAAGCCAAGCCGTTGGCCCGGCCGCTCACTAAAGAGTGAAAACTAAACGAGCCAATGCACATTGGCATGCGATAATTGCATCCAGCTGCCACTGATCACAGCTTGAGCATAAAAAGACAGCCGGTGCAATGCATACCAGGTTTTCGCTGAGAAGCCAAGCCGTTGGCCCGGCCGCTCAGCGGTGGTACAGCCGCCGTGACGACGGGACGTGATGTCTCCATTCCCTCCTTCAGGGAACGAGGGTTACATACGGAACCGAGACGTTCCCTTTCAGTTGGTCACTATGAGTCACGTCGTGACCAACGAATTGGGATCCCTACCAAAGCGCCATGGATGCTGTCCCTTCCAGTGTCCTGTGCAAGCCTCCTGCGCCCCTTTTTGGTGTAGGCCGGGGCTAGCAACAAGAAGACCAGTCACCGATGTCGTAGCACTACCCACTCAGTGAGATTGGATAATGGGATTGTAACCCTCTTGGAAATGGCAGACGTCTGCCGGGGAAACTCTGAGGCTATACCGTGGACTTTACACATATGGGATCCATTTAGGTCTCTACATATGGAACCCAGCCCTCTACCGGTTCTCAAGGATTCACAGAGTGAGGGTCTGGCGCCGGACATTCCACCACGTCATGCTGCCGAGGGGACAAAGGAGCTTGACATGGCCTACAGTACGGACACTCTGGAGCAGTTTTAGCAAGCCGACACTAAATCGGGGCCTCTCAGTGCCTCTACCCGTTTGAGGTGAGAACACAGGAGGATACCGGCTCCAAACGAAGGCTATAGAATCTAGCGAACGTGTTGTGGGTCGCCCAGCCCGCAGCTCTACAAATATCTGTCAGCAAGGTGCCACGAGCCAGCGCCCAGGAGGATGCAACACTTCTAGTAGAGTGAGCTCGCCATCTGAGCGCCATCAATATGAGTCACGTCGTGACCAACGAATTGGGATCCCTACCAAAGCGCCATGGATGCTGTCCCTTCCAGTGTCCTGTGCAAGCCTCCTGCGCCCCTTTTTGGTGTAGGCCGGGGCTAGCAACAAGAAGACCAGTCACCGATGTCGTAGCACTACCCACTCAGTGAGATTGGATAATGGGATTGTAACCCTCTTGGAAATGGCAGACGTCTGCCGGGGAAACTCTGAGGCTATACCGTGGACTTTACACATATGGGATCCATTTAGGTCTCTACATATGGAACCCAGCCCTCTACCGGTTCTCAAGGATTCACAGAGTGAGGGTCTGGCGCCGGACATTCCACCACGTCATGCTGCCGAGGGGACAAAGGAGCTTGACATGGCCTACAGTACGGACACTCTGGAGCAGTTTTAGCAAGCCGACACTAAATCGGGGCCTCTCAGTGCCTCTACCCGTTTGAGGTGAGAACACAGGAGGATACCGGCTCCAAACGAAGGCTATAGAATCTAGCGAACGTGTTGTGGGTCGCCCAGCCCGCAGCTCTACAAATATCTGTCAGCAAGGTGCCACGAGCCAGCGCCCAGGAGGATGCAACACTTCTAGTAGAGTGAGCTCGCCATCTGAGCGCCATCAATCCAGTGGGCCATCCTCTGCTTAGAGACGGCCTTCCCCTTCTGCCTGTCTCCATAACAGACAACGAGCTGGTCTGAGGTCCTAAAGCTTTGTGTCTGGTCTAAGTACCATCTCAAGGCTCGGACGGGACAAAGCAAAGCTAGAGCTGGGTCTGCCTCCTCCGGGGGCAGCGCTTGCAGGTTCACTACCTGATCCCTGAAGGGGGTAGTAGGAACCTTGGGCACATAGCGGGCCAGGGCTTCAGGATTACCTGGGAGTCAGCCGGCCCAAACTCTAGGCACGAATCGTCGACCGAAAATGCGTGCCGGTCCCCTCCTGGTGGAGGCCAGTGCAAGCAGGATCAGCGTTTTCATTGAAAGAAACTTTAGCTCGACTGACTACAAAGGCTCAAATGGGCTCTGCTGTAGTACTTTGAGCACTAGAGACAAGTCCCAAGAGGGTATAAAGGGGGGCTGGGGAGGATTTAACCTTCTCGCCCCCCTAAGGAACCTGATGACCAGGTCATGCTTCCCTACCGATTTCCCTTCCACGGGGTCATGGTTAGCAGCAATCGCAGAGACATAGACTTTAAGGGTGGAGGGAGACAGCCTTTGCTCCAACTCTTGCTTCAAAAAGGAAAGCACAACCCTGGTTGGGCATTTCCGGGGGTCTTCTCGGTGAGAAACGGTCTGTGGCACGGAAGGATCGACACATGAACGTACGCATCCGATCCCCGACACAAACCAATCTCGGGGACCCGGAGATGCGTTTCTGCACCAACATCTAGAACGGTAACCAGTGAAGGGTCCGGTTCAAGACACGCAGATCCAAGATTGGTCGTAACCCACCGCCTTTCTTGGGTACAATGAAGTAGGGGCTGTAAAACCCTGTCCTCATATCGGCTGGAGGGGCCGGCTTTATCGCGTCCTTCGCCAGTAGGACTGCAATCTCTGCACGCAAGACAGGAGCATTGGCCGCCTTCACTGCCGTGAAGCAGATGCTACTGCACTTGGGGGGATGCCGGGAGAACTGAATTGCATAGCCGTGACTGATGGTCCGCAGAAGCCAGCGAGACGGGCTCGGTAGCGTTAGCCAGGCACCCATATACCGGGACAAGCGGGACCAGTGGGACCAGCGGAACCACTGCCGTACCCACAGTGGGGGAGCGAGGTGGAACGCAGGGACCCAACTCGGGTGGCTTGTGGGCGGACCGAAGAGGGGTCTGAGTGTGCGGTGCAACGCTTCCCTGCTTCCACAGTTTGGCAGAGGGTGCGTGAGTAGGGTCTTTTTTGACACTCTCGAACCGCCCGATGCTGCCTGCTGGCGATGGAGGAGGATGAGTGTGGTCCGGTGTTGGTCCATCCGCGACTCTACATGCTCTTCTGGGACCCAGGGACAGAGAAAACCACTCTCTCATCGAGATTTTACAGACTCTCCACCCGCCCCTTCTCCAGGGGAGGGAGAGGTGCATTCACCATCCCCCAAAGAGCAGCTTCGGGACACGGGACACAACTGCATCGCTACAGTCCACTCCACCGGGGGGTGGTGAGGGAGGAGGAACCAGCAGGTCAGTTTCTGGCAGTAAAAGGTGCTGTCCATGACCTGCTGAGCTCCTCATGCACCTCCGGGAAGAGAGGCACCGAGGCGGGGCGCTGAGAACCAGCGCGAGCCACCCCGAGAAACCAATCGTCCAACCTCGAGGGCCCGGGACACGGTGGAAGTTTCCACTCGAGCCCTACCCTCTCGGCGGCCCAGGAAAGCATAGCCGACATCTCCGGCTCCGATTCAGGCCTTGCCACCATCCCGGAGAGTGGCAGCACAGCCGAATCTTCCTCTCCAGAGAGCTCTCCCTCCGATGCAGTGATCGACATCCGGTCGTCGGGAGGAGCACCGAAGGATACCGCTGGTACGCTCTTTGAAGAGGGCCCAGTGCGTTCCTTTGACGGCTCGACTGGTTGCGAAGCGCTAGAGGAGTGATGCCCCCCCGAGGTTTGGTTCCCTGAGGGGTTTGCCACCACTGTAACCCTCAGACCGCCCGTGCTACTGCCCGAAGTAGTCCTTGCATGGCTGCCGCCAGGACGAACACTAAATCGCGGCAGAGGCAAAGGAGCTCCGCCCCCCTGGAGGAAATGGAGCCTGGCCCGGGGCTCCGAGATGGTCAACTTCCCGCAATGGGAACATAACTCATCCACGAATGCCACTTCAGCGTGTTTAATGCCCAGACACATGAGGCAGCGATCGTGACCATCACCCGGCGCCAGGTAACGACCGCATCCAGAAACGCACGGGTGAAACGCCATCTTTAAAAAGATGATCCATCGTCTTTACAAAGAAGCACCCTTGTAAGCTCTTTTAGAGAAATAAGCTCTTTCAGGGAAATGCTCTTTTAGGTGCTGAGACGCACAGGGGAGATGGCCGCTTGCAGCACAACAGGGGGTAGTGCAGCCTGAAGTGCGCAACCCACTCGACACAGGAACGACCACCGCTGAAGCGCCATCCGCCAACACAAAAAGCTCCCTAGAGCGCGTTCAACTCATCACACAGGAAGCAGTTAATAGGAGCAGAATGATGTTGTCGCTCGGCTCCGAAGCGAAAAGCTAGTATGCGTTGCACCGGCTGCCTTTTTATGCTCACGCTGTGATCAGCGGCAGATGTATGCAATTATCGCATGCCAATGTGCCTTGTTGCTCGTTTAATTTACAATCGAAGTGGATTGGTCTCTCTAAGCGAGATCCCAATTCGTCGGTCATGACGTGACTCATAGTGACCGACTGAAAGGGAACCTATGTACTAAAATGTCAAGAAAGTTGGAAAATTTGTTTAATTTCTGAGTCAGTTTTTTTCTAATGGTTCCAAACACTGATTCAATAATTCACTTTCCTCATTACTTTTAAATATGCTTAAAATGCCTGTCAATTTACATACTTAAAGGTGTGTTTGATAAGGGTTGGCGTTAACTGTGCAGAGCTGTGGCCCTTCAGGAATTGAGTTTGAGACCAATGATGTACAGTATATATACAGTAGTATATAAAACAGATAGTTGAAGTACTGTATATTTACGAAAATACTGTTTCAGTTTTTTCTACACCAAAATGTTACATTTAATTCAATGTGTTACTTGCCTTTTTTGTAACTGAAATTCACAAGCAACTAGAATGCCAATGTTTTATGTACATTAGGTATATAAAGGTTATCTATAGGTACAGTTGTGGTTTAAAAAATGTTTTGGTTTCAGATAATTATTGGTTATATATGTGACCCTGGACCACAAAACCAGTCATAAGGGTCAATTTTTCAAAATTGAGATCTATACATCATCTGAAAGCTGAATGAGCTTTCCATTGATGTATGGTTTGTTAGGATATGACAATATTTGGCCGAGATACAACTATTTAAAAATCTGGAATCTGAGGGTGCAAAAAAATCTAAATACTGAGAAAATCGCCTTTAAAGTTGTCCAAATTAAGTTCTTAGCAATGCATATTGCTAAGTTTTGATATCTTTATGGTAGGACATTTACAAAATATCTTCATGGAACATAATCTTTACTTAATATCCTAATGATTTTTGGCATAAAAGAAAAATCGATCATTTTGACACATACAATGTTGTTTTGGCTATTGCTAAAAAATATACTCAAGCGACTTAAGACTGGTTTTGTGGTCCAGTGTCACATATGTTAAAATAACTCGTTGCAAGTGCAGGTCATTTGCAGTTATGGAGAAGAAGAAAAGAAAAAAAAACATACAACATACCACCAGCACAAAGACATTACAGAACCCAACCAGATAAAGCAAGTCTACAAACAGATTGATAGTAACCAGGTAATTCGGGTCCAGAACTCAAAAACATAAAGAACAGGCTAATGAAACGAAGATGGAGAACTTTAAAGGGCTACTGTCAACCACAGTCACATGACCCACCAAAACACACTTGCTAGCAATTATTTTTACCAGAATGTGTAGGATGGAGCTCCACCATCAGTTAGGCCTCCAGGGCTAAGATTGCGGGTTAGGGCTGTCTGTTTCAGGATTCAAAGTAAGCAGTTTGTTTATAGAGAAGAACTCTTTACTACGAGAAAAGAAAAAAGAAAGAAATAAATTATTACTTTGTTGCTTCTTCTGTGCCTCCTTCTCCATCTGCTTTGCCCTCTTCCTCCATCTTCTGCTCATCTGAGATCAGCTCCTGGTTCTTATGTCTGCGAATACACTTCACCACTACCATGGACAGAATGAGCAAAGCTAGAATTCCTCCCACAGATGCCCCGATGGCAACAGCAATGGTCGAATCTCTTGGTGGCGGCACTGGGCAGAGGAAGACAAAAATTGAGGAAAACTAAATAATAAATCAGAGTAGCATATTGCTTTAGCAAAAAAAATTAAATAATATATATATATATATATATATATATATAGTGGTTCAACAGTAATGTTATAAACAGTGTTGGGGAAAGTTACTTTTAAAAGTAATACATTACAATATTGCATTACTCCCTAAAAAGTAACTAATTAAGTTAGTTACTTTTAATGAAATGTAATGTGTTACGTTACTTTTGAGTTTTAAATCAATATCAATAATACCCCCTTGTGATATTTAAAAATAGGCAGCGGCTATTTGCACTAAGTGTAAATAGCAAATTATATGTTATTTACACCAAGTAAAAACAGCATATTTTCTTAACGATCAATTCTGAATAGCAGTATTTTCTTAGTGATATGCTATTTGCACTTAATGTAAATAGCATATCACTAAGAAAATACTGCTATTAGATTCTATTTACACTAATAATACTGCTAATAGATTCTATTTACACTATGAAAAATTTAAAATTATTAAACAGAGGTTGCCCTGTTGGGACAATAAATCCCTACACCTAACCCTAACCCCTGATACTTAATTTTTAACTTTTCAATTATTTCCTTAATTTTTATTGAAAATAAATGCCTTTCCAATGTGATACGTGATGTGAAAAGGGAGAAGAACGAGTTAGGCAAAATGCAGATTCGAACTCGGATCAATCACGTCAAAAAGAATGCATAACGTGCTTTATCATCTACGCCACTAGAGCTGTCGCTTGCCCGCCATCTTTTGTAATATTATCTAGCGCAAACATACGTTGGTGGGCGGAGTTAGCCTCTACCAACAAGGCGGGCTATTTGCATTTAATGTAAATAGACATTCTGTTTAAGATATTTTACTTTTCTTGAAAAAGGCGGCTGCAAACAACTGGCTAAAGGGACTACAGATGTTTAGCTTTTTACTTCTGGTGATTGTATTTAGGCTTCAAAATCTATAAACTTTGTATTCATTTGTAAAGATTATCATGATGAAAAGAAAAACACGCAAGAATAATAAACATTTGTTGTTCACAGAGCTTATTTTTTTCTATAATAATCCAAAAGCCACTAGAAAATTTGGCTTTTTGTTGAGCGAACAACTTCAAAAAGACATCATCAATGCAGCACTCTATTCTAATTCTGGACTTAACAACACCTGCAATAAGGAAACACCATTCATCATGGCCTCTCCTAAAATAATCTGGGTAGAGCTTCTTGGCTCATACTGAAGCCTTACATTCAGTCAGGACAAGGACCTGAATGGCGCCGTGGCCCTGAATGCGGTCTGGAGGGTTGCGCACATAGCAGTTGTAGATGCCCTCGTCTGTCAACTGCACATCTAAGATAGTGATGCTCAGGTCATTCTTATCCAGGTTTCCAGAAAATGTGACTCGATCTCCAAATCGGCTCGACTTCAAGGGTGTTATTTTGTTCTTATAGGTCATGAACTTGGAAAAGAAGACATTTTGGATGAAGGTAGATTGAGAAAGGTAAAGAAAAAATTTAATTGTGTAATTTTAAAGAATTGGTAATACAATGGTATTAGCATGTTTAGTCTTTGTTTTCCCTCACCATTTCTTCTGTGCTGTTGCTTGTATCTTGATAGGTCCAGTTCATGGCAAACTTGCTGGGGTCCAGCTTGTAGCATGAAGTGAACGCACAGGGGATTCTGACATCTGTCCCATTGAGAGCGAGGATCTGTGGTGGCACCAGCACATCCATGGAATTCACTGGACATGCTATGAGATGTTTTTTTATTGGTCTTATGAAGTATTCTAATTTGTTGAGATAGTGAATTGGTGGGTTTTTGTTAAATGTGAGCCAAAATCATCACAATTAAAATAATCAAAGACTTAAACTACTTCAGTCTGTGTGCTTTGAATTTATTTAATACACGAGTTTCACAATTTGAGTTGAATTACTGAAATAAATGAACTTTTCCACAACATTCTAATTTATTGAGATGCACCGGTACACGTCTATGACATCTGATTGGTGAGATACTTCTGGAAAGCGCATGTTTTAAATGCGGTGTGCATGGAAATGCCTTTTCAAGTAAGTTAAAATGTAATTTTCAAAAGATAAACAAGCTATTTTTTTAACTTTCAAAGTGGTCTGAGTAGTTATCTTATATAACTTATAATGATGGTTATATAATTATGTAATTCAAACACCTTTTAAAAGTTCATTTTAATTTAGAATGACTGCAAATTTGGATTGGATAAGCCTTGTTCAAATTGGTAGGGGGTTGGTAAGATGTTATTTATGAAAGAAGTCTCTTATGCTCATCAAAAACAGCATTTATTTGATTAAAAATACAGTAAAACAATTATTTACTATTTGGATATTTTTGTTATGTAATGTATTGCAGTGATTGAAAATATGAATTTTCAACATCAGTACTCAAATGTTACTTGATACTTCAGAAATAATTTTAATTAGCAAATTTAGTGCTTAAGTATTATTATTATTATTATTACTACCAGTTTTGAAAATAGTTAGGCTGCTTTTTATTGTGTAAACTGTGATACATTTTTATTATTATTTGAATAGAAAGATCATAGAAAGTCACAGAAAAGTCTTTGTCACTTTTGATCAATTTAATGCATCCTTGCTGAATAAAGTATTAATTTCCGATATACCCTTTGATTGACTTCTGATTGACCCTAAACTTTTAAACAGTGGTGCAATATAAAATTTTTATATAAATAAAACAAATAAATACAAAATGTATTAAATGTTTTTTTTTCATAGTTGTTTTAATTATTACAGACCAAAAATCTGAAATTTATGCTTTCACTTAAACATTACACATTTGGTATCAAAGTCTCAGACTTTTAAATCCCAATACATTTTAAATATTTGAATATGTATTACAACATTAATGTCATTCTACTTTAAGCAATGTGTTTACAATGCCTTATATAAACCATATTTTTCCAGTGTTGCCAAGTTCAATGTAAATAAATTTCTTCTTAATCTGTATCTGTATTAAGCATGCACTATAAGTTGCATTTCTATTACTATGATCTATGCTACTACTATATCACTATGATTGCCAAAACATTTTTTATCCTATTGTCTAAAGGTTTATTTCCTCCACCTCTGCACCATTTCATCCCTCTGCAGTCAGGAGTTTTGTGTTTCTGGACAAGTTCCCACTGCTGCAGCAGTTATGCTTTATCGGCCCGGCTCTCTGCAGTAGGAGCAGCAACTTCGTCACACCCTCCCATCCCATCCCATCCCATCCCCACCCCCTCAAAGTGCTGCAGTTTAGTCCATCCCCCTCCCTTTAGAAAAAAGCAGGTGTCCTCATGGATAGAGAGCGAGAACTACAGCAGCTGTGTTCAGAGAAAAGACGCATACACACACGAACCTCATGCATATGTGAATAGGTTTATTATGATTTATAGTGCGCTAATTCCAGAGTGCTAACAAGGCAACATTTGAACTATACAGATATACAACAATATATTATAATCATAGCATTTTTTTGTGCTACAAATGATGCAGTACTGCATCATGTCACTGTATCCTACATAGGCTCTCAGTGTGGGCTGAAATACACACACACACATGCAGAGTCAGCACTCTGACAGGCGTGTTACTCAATAGTGGCACTACGTCAATGTCGTCTCCACCCACCCTTTTACCTTCATGCATATTTAGTCCGTTTCTCTCTGTGGTCTGTACCACAGCAGAGACGCTTTAAAACTCCTTCACGTACACCATGCACATTTAATCACCGCATCCATACATTTCTTTCAAAAGAATCAGGAAATAATAGCCATATTGTTGTAGTTTGAAAGCTACAATGAATCTTGAGTATCTGTACACTCTTGTTTGTGAATGTTTGGGTTTATATAAGGGGTCTGACTAACAATGACATCTCTAGCCCACTCTTGGGTTACCTATTTGATGGTTATATACAAATATTCACCAGTTCAGAGAGCTGTAGGCAAAAAATACTGCAGTGTAGCTCTCTCTCACACAACAGTCCCTGACAAACCCCATCCCTACACCCTCCCTGCGCTGTCTGTGTCCTCTTTTTTCTGCTCTCAAGGTTATTTTAAAAGGAGAAATGTGGACAAGATACATTGTGGAGCTGAATATGCATGCAAAACATAATACAGACACACATACACACACACAAATACATACATACAGTACATACAGTGCTGGGTAGATTACTTACAAATTGTAATTCTTTCCTGTTTCAAAAATACCTAACGGAAATGGTCAGTAATATATTAGATTACACATTTAATCTGATTACTTTTAGATTTCTTTTGATCTAACTTCTTTTTGGTTCCCTTTCAGTCGGTCACTCCGAGTCACGTCAGTGACCGATGAATTGGGATCTCGCTTTGAGAGACCCATCCACTTTGAGTATAAACTAAACGAGCCTATGCACATTGGCATGTGATGATTGCATCCAGCTGCTGCTGATCACAGCATGAGCATAAAAAGGCAGCCGGTGCAACGCATACCAGCTTTTTGCTTCGGAGCCGAGCGACAACATCGTTCTGCTCCTACCAAACTGCTTCATGTGTGACGAGTCTAGCTCGCTCTCGGGAGCTTTTTGTGTTGGTGGACGGCGCTTCAGCGGTGGTCGTTCCTGTGTTGAGTGGGTTGCGCACTTCAGGCTGCACTACCCCCTGTTGTGCTGCAAACAGCCGTTTCCCCTGTGCGTCTCAGCACGTAAAATAGCGTTTCACCCGTGCGTTTCTGGATGTGGTCGTTACCTGGCACCAGGTGATGGTCACGATTGCTGCCTCATGTGTCTGGGCATTAAACATGCTGAGGTGGCGTTCGCGGATGAGTCATGTTCCCATTGTGGGAAGATGACCATCTTGGAGCTGCGAGCCAGGCTCCGTTTCCTCCAGGGGGGGCAGAGCTCCGTTGCCTCTGCCATGATCTAGTGTTTGTCCTGGCGGCAGCCAGGCGTGGACTACTTCGGGCAGTAGCACGGGCGGTCTGAGGGTTACAGTAGTGGCAAACCCCTCAGGGAACCAACACTCAGGGGACCATCGCTCCTCTAGCGCTTCGCAACCAGTTGAGCCGCCAAAGGAAACGGTATCCTTCGGTTCTCCTCCCGACGACCGGATGTCAATCACTGCATCGAAGGGAGAGCTCTCTGGAGAGGAAGATTCGGCTGCGCTGCCGCCCTCTGGGATGGTGGCAAGGCCTGAATCGGATCCAGAGATGTCAGCTATGATTTCCCGGGCCGCCGAGAGGGTAGGGCTCGAGTGGAAACCTCCACCGTGTTCCGGGCCCTTGAGGTTGGATGACTGTTTTTTCGGGGTGGCTCGCGCTGGTTCTCAGCGCCCCGCTTCGGTGTCTTTCTTCCCGGAGGTGCATGAGGAGCTCACCAGGTCATGGACGGCACCTTTTACAACCGGAAACTGACATGCTGGTTCGTCCTCCCTCACCACCCTCAACGGTGGTGCAGCTAGGGGCTATACAAGGGCACACCCGGTGGAGTGGCCGGCTGCGGTTGCGAAGGTCACCGGGAGTTCTCGGGGTCGTGCGATGTCCACACTTGTGGTCCAGGAGCGCCATCTCTGGTTGTATCTGGTTGATATGAGGGACGCCGACAAAGTTCGGTTCCTTAATGCTCCTGTGTCCCAGACTGGCCTCTTTGCGACGCGGTCGAGAGCTTGGCCCAGCAGCTCTTGGCTGCACAGAAGCAAACTGAGGTGGGTCGTCACACCCTGCACCGGCGGGCAGCTGCTGCCTTCACCCATTCGCCGGCCGCAACGCCCCAGCCTGCTCGTTGCCGAGGCCAGCCCCCTGCATCCGCCCCTGCTCCCACGCCGCATCCGCAGCAGCCTCCAGCAAGCAGTGCCGTGGAGCTAGGCAAAGGCAGGCCACCCCACCCGTCCAGGCCCCCGTCAAACCTGGCGGTGAGCGAAAGAGCAAGAAGCCGCGGGACGTGTGACCCAGAGGAGGAGGAAGCTGCTCTTTGGGGGATGGTGAAGGCACCTCTCCCTCCCCCGGAGGAGGGCCGGATGAAGAATCTGGAAAATCTCAACAAGAGAGCGGTTTTCTCTGTTCCTGGGCCCCAGGAGGGCACGGAGAGTCGCGGATGAACCAGCACTGGACCACACTCATCCTCCTCCATCACCAGCAGGCAACAGCGGGCAGTTCGAGAGCGTCAACAAAGGCCCTACTCACGCACCCTCTGCCAAACTGTGGAACCAGGTAAGCATTGCACTGCACACTCGGACCCCTCTTGGGTCCGCTCACAAGCCACCCGAGTTGGGTCCCTGCGTTCCACCATGCTGCCCCACTGTGGGTACGGCGGTGGTTCTGCTGGTCCTGCTTGCACGGTATCTGGACGCCTGGCTAGCGCTACTCAACCCGTCTCGTTGGCTTCTGCGGACCATCAGCCTCGGCTATGCAATTCCGTTCGCCTGGCATCTCCCCAAGTTCAGTGGCATCCGCTTCACGTCAGTGAAGGCGGCCGATGCTCCTGTTTTGCGTGCGGAGATCACAGTCATACTGACGAAGGATGTGATAGAGCCGGTCTCTCCAGCCGATATGAATACAGGGTTTTACAGCCCTTACTTCATTGTACCCGAGAAAGGCGGTGGGTTACAACCAATCTTGGATCTGCGTGTTTTGAACCGGACCCTTCGCCGGTTACCGTTCAAGATGTTGACGCAGAAACACATCTTCGGGTGCATCCGTTCCCGAGATTGGCTTGTAGCAATCGACCTGAAGGATGCATACTTTC